ATTTTTATTTTATATGATGGACTGTACTGGCCAGCCACCAAAAAAAAAAAGAAAGAAAATAAACTTCAGGTTTCCTAGGTTTAGTTTATGAGATTCATTCCAAAATAAAAATATTTAGAAAGCAAATTACATACACATAAAACCAATTAGGTGAAACTGCAACCTGACTTCCCAACTTACTATATTTCCAACAGAACGATAAAGTCTGAATATTTGCTCCGAAGTTTGTTCCTCCCAGTTTATACAGCTGGTACCAGCAGAAATCTTAGGGGCTGCAAGATAAAGCCAAGAGCAAGATGAATATCAGGTTCAATGTCCATGATTTTATAGTTATTGATGCTGAGTAATAGGTACAAGAGAATGCATTATAATAGTCGTTCAACTTTTTTATGTTCAAAAATTTCCATCATATAGATTTGTAATTTTTTTTTTTTTTTTTTGGTGGCTGGCCAGTACAGTCCATCATATAAAATAAAAATAATATTCACAGAAATAATGTACATTAAAACTACTCCAAGATACAATTTCTTATCTATTAAGTTAGGAAGTAACATGTGCATAGTGTCATTCATAGTAGTAGTATTTGAAATAGCAAAGACTTGAAATAACCCAAATGCCCACCAATAGAGGATCTGTTGAATAAATTATGATTGATCCATACAACTGAAATCTATGCTGCCATAAAAAAGAAAGAGGAAAATCTCTTCTTACTAATAGGAAGTGGTCTCCAAGATATATTTACTGTTAAGTGAAAAGAGAAAGGTACAGAAGAGTATATATTTTATGCCAGCTTTTGTGAAAGAAAAAAGGAATAATATGGGCCTGTTGGGGTCCCAAGGCATGGAGCCGAGGACGACCCCTCCTCCCACAACCAGGCAAGGAGCATGCCAAAAACACCACTTCCATGTGGGTGGCCCACCACATCCACCACAATAGCCACAGCTGCCGCAAAAGTGGCTAGATGCAACAACCACCATACAGATGGCCTGCCAGCCACTCAAGTGCACTGATACAAGGAGAGTCAACAGCCAAGACCAAAGAAAAGAAGAGGATGTCTCTCTCCACAAAGCCCATTCCAGAATGATAGAAGAAGCATCTATGCTATGATAATATTGGGGGACCAGAACACACCTCTCTCAGCACTGGACAGATCATCTAGGCAACAAATCAACAGAGTAACCGTTATTCTTTCAGAAGGAGAAGAAATCTAGGGTTATCAGAGGTGGGAGGGGGGAGGATGAGGAGGATGGGGAGAGATTTGATGGGGGCATAAAGAGCAAGTATGATTTGTAATAATGTATATGCTAATAATATTGATGTGATCAACATACATCAAAGTTGAACCCCCAAAATATGTATAATCAATTATGATTCAATAAAATTTAAAAAAATTTTTAAAAATAAAGTGAAGTATACCAGAAAAAAAAAAAGGAATATTTACAATATATTTGTTTTTGCTTATTTTGGCATAAGGAAACACTGGAAGGCTAAATCAGAAACTAATAAAAATTGTTACCTATACAGTATAGGATAAGATAGGGATGAAGTGGGACTTCTCTGAGTATCCCTTTTTAAATGGTTTTAACTTTTGAAATATGTAAATGTTTTACATATGCAAAAAATAAAATTAAATCATAAAGAAAAATAAAAAGCATTTCCTAAAATTAAAAACAAATTGAAGGGCCGGCCCGATGGCACACTGGAGAGTGCGCTGGTTGGGAGCGCGGCAGCGCTCCCGCCGTGGGTTCGGATCCCATGTGGAGACCGGTTCCCGCTCACTGGCTGAGCGCGGTGCGGGCACAACACCGAGGGTTTCGATCCCGTTACCGGTCAGTAAAAAAGACAAAAAGGATTAAAAAAAAAAAAAAATTGAAACAAATGTCGCTGAAACACAGTATCATCTATGAAATACTCTTTCTGAAAACTTTAAACCTGAGTCTAGTCAAACTGTTAGAATCTCTAATTTATAGGAAATATAAGGAACAGAAAACAAGTTAAACAACACTGAAAGGAAACAAACAAATCAGGTAACTGGCCTGGTCTCTTCAAAAAGTCAGTAACATAGAGGGGGAAAAACAGTAGAGGGATTATTTCAGATTAAAGAGACTAAAGAGATACAATAACTAATTACAACTGGATCCTAGTTTTAAAAAAAACAGCTATAAAATACATTCTTAGACTATTAGGAAAGTTTAAATATAGACTGGATATTAGATGCTATTAGGAAGTTATTACAAAAGTACTTAAAGATAAAAGGTCATGATTCATACTTCCAAATTAGTAAGCAAAATTTTAAATATATATACATAATAAACACATAGAAAGAGAATATGGTCAAACAATAATTGTTGACGCTGGGTAAACTGGTGTGCATTATACTAGTGTTTCAATTTATGATAACGTTGCTGTTTTTTGTTAATTCCTGAATAATGATTCATTTGGGTAGAAATACTGAAAGCAAAGATAGACTTACAGGATTTAATACTGTGTTTAATACTTTTTAAAATAAAAAGTTGAGAAAAAATGTCCGATCCTTCATGCTAACAGGGAGAGGAGGCACTTACTAATCATTCTTGGAAAAGGACATGAGTGTCCACTGGCACTCAATCTTTAGTCAAAATTAAGGGGAAAGTATAGCAAAGAGGTCAGAGTGTTCAGATGTCATCATGACAAACAAAACCTTAGAAAGATGTAAGTATCTCTGCAGACTTCACTCACCATACGTCACCCCCTCAGTTAGCTGCTGCCTTCCATTGTTCAGACTTTCAGGCAAATTTTTCAAAACCGAAATAAGCTATAAAGAAAAAAGAGAGTGATATATTCAAGAAGAATAGAAGAACAAAAGCAGAAATACATTATAATTTGGTAACATGAAACTATAAAAGAGCTGTATGGCAGGGTAGGGTGGTAGTAAATTGGCTTAAGCTGTGAGGATACACGTCTACTTGGTGAGTTTCAGTAGAGATGCCGCTCTCTGTAAGAGTACCGGTCATTGATTTGCTTCCAGAGAATGCTGGGCTTTGCCTGGCTGTACAAGTTTTCAGCATCAGGACAGCCTGTGCTCAGCTAACCATATTCACCCCAGAGGAAGGAAGGCAGTGGAGCCTCACAGAAGGAGAATGTATTCTGGAGTCACACAGTTCTAAGTTCAAATCCCAGTTCTACCACCTACTAGCTGTCTAACTGTGGGAAAGATGTTTAACTTGTCTGTGGCCTTCAAGGTCATCATCCGTGAAATAACTGACAGCAACAAATAACTGTAACATTTGTTGGGAGGGTAAAAAAAAAAGTCCATAGAATATCTAGAAATGTCTTGGCACACAAGCCAATGCTCAATAAATGGCAGCCACTACTATAAGATCACTTCCAAGGTGAGTGCCTACAATGGGAAATACCATCTATGTTGTTGAGAAAAATTTTTCTTCTGTATAAAATTAACTAGTTCATATAAAAAAACATGAATTCAGTCATTAAACATTTACCCAGACCTTACTGTGTACAGATTCATTGAGCTATACAAAGCCACAGAGAGAAGAAAGGTCATCTGCTCGTAGGGTGGTCAGTAGAATTCCAGGGCATACAATGCAAATGACTGGAATCCAGGCATAAAAGTAGGAGGAAAGCTGAATCACTTAGGAAATAGCTGTTAGTTCAGTCTGACAGGGATATAAAGTACACACACACACGCACACACATACAAAAGTGAGGAGAATGAAATTAGGAAGAATAGTCTAAAGGCCTCACTATGAAATGCAGTGGATCATATAAGATCACCTGTTCCACTTGAAAGCCTTTACTAAGTACCCACTCCATGTAAATTCCCAAAGACTTTCATGAGATCACAAATGCCAGGCTAATTTTTAGGAAGCCAGGGATAGAAACCACTGTTTTTTATTTTTTTAAAGAAACATAAAATTGCAAGTCATAACATTGTTCTTTTCATCATAACCACTTAGGAAACCTATAAATGAAAGAAAACAGTGGGATATTGGAGAACTATACCATGTTGGCACCCAGTCTTGACAATACTGCTTCCAATTCCTTTGCTGTGCTCTTGGGTGGCACAGGAATGGTTTCCTGCTTGAGAATTGGGCCCACGTCAAACCTAGCAAAATGTCAAAAGCAAAAAATAACATGATTACCATTTCTTAAAATCAATATGTTTGACTACATACTACAAAGATAGTTTACTGCTGGCTACTAATTTGGCTGTTAACTACTAGCAAGAGAAACATGTCAGTCTGAAAGAAGGGACAGCAAAATATGGCCTGTATTTAAATTTATTTTTTCCTAAAGGAGAAAAGTATACAGTTGCATATCAAGGATTTAACTGCAATTATAAATAATTCTACCATTAGTAATAGAGAGTATATTTGTATATGAAAAGCACTAGGCCAAGAATTTATTTTTGAAGGAAGTATAATTAGGAAATTCATAACTATTTCTGCATTTCCTTCCTTAGAGAACGAGAGTTTTACCTGGATTGTAATCACTGGTGATTATAAGTAGACACAAGTATATGTGCATTCCCACAAGTCTTACATTTTACATAAAGCTCTCTAAACACTGGCCATAGGCTTTCATTAGAAATATGCTTTATTTTCAATTTTTAACTTTGTGGTTTTTTAAATTCTATATTTAACCTATGAGCTTTCATAAAATGTTTATTATGAAAAATTACAAACATTCACAAAAACAGAGAGAATAATCTAATAAATCATCATATATACATCATCCAGACATTAGAATTATCAAAGATTTGTCACCTTTGTTTCATCTACTCCCTCCCTTTCTTTCTGAAGTAAGTTAAAGCAAATCCCAGATATCATGCTGTTCTTGTGAACTTGTGAATTATTCTTTTCTGTGGGGAAATTAGGTGGTAACAGGCAGAGGCTTAATAAACTCTTCAAGTAATTTTAAAGAATTTTTCTAGATTGCAGCAGGTATGATAGAAAAAAAATTAAATGTTTAAGACAATTATATTATATGTTGATACACAATATATTCTTATGTCAGGTTCCAAAAAATTTTTGACCATAGTTTAGAAGCCAAGGTCAGCAGAACTGAGATTCAAAACAACTAACATACAAAAATCCACCTCTCATTTACACAATGTCTTTTATAGAAATCCAGGTGTTAATATAATGTATTTCAACTTACAAATTAGAAAACTCACAAGGACTTTAAAGAAACTCTATATAACTACCAGGAAAATCCAGAAAGGGTATAAAGGCAAAAGAAGTTTTCTGGAGTTGAAGAAATTAGTGCGCATCATCCACTCATTCATCTCCCTCACCCCAAACAGACTGATATCAACATTTAAAATCATAAAAATCTCAAGAAAATATGCTCTACCTTTTAGGTCTAATTTGCATAATCGTTACTCCAGTAACTGTGTCTCCGTGAAGCACTGTGTGGATTATAGGGGCTGGACCACGCCACCTCGGGAGGCAACTGGGATGGACATTCAATATGCCACTGAGTTAGAAAATGAAGAAATGTATGTCAGTGGACCCTGCCATTTAGTTACTGCTATCTAGACTAATATGCTACTTTTCATTACTAAATTCTCCCAGAAATCTGGAAAAACTGATAGTTAAATCTCGTCTCGTATCACCCGAAAGGAAAATGTCAGAAGTAAGTCCACTCTCTTACCAGGAGAAATCAATGAAACTTAATTAAAAACAGCAAGAACAACTATTCACTGTTTCAGAGATGTTCCACAACAGCTCATGATGTCTGGGAGTTTTTAAATAAAATTTAAAAATGCATTCATTAGTATATGAGAAGAACTACTCAACTCTATTATGTATCTCATGAACAATGCAAATTATTTATAATTTAGATACATAATTACCCTCACCACTTCACTTAGTTTACATATAGAATGCCTAAAATAAGCTTCTTGAATCTCCATCAAATGATCTATTTGCCTTTGCTATTTATCCCAATATACCTGTCACCTATTGATGAGCAACTTAAATACTTTACTGATCTGTCACTGGCTTAGTTACATTTCCATCAGCATGAATGCGCACTTTAGAGTGTGTGTATTCGAGAAAGCCGTACATTCTAAGTCTCACTGTTCAGCCCAGTCCCATTCACCCAACAACACTCACTGAGCACAATCCGTGGGCAGGGCTAGGGATAACAGCGGCAGCAAACCAAACAGAAAAACAATCCTGCCCCCAGGGAGCTTATGTATAAAGAGTGGGAGATAAGCAACAAAAAACAAAATACACAAAAAATTTGTCAGATGGTACTGAGGGCTATGGAGAAAAATAAAGCAGAAGGGGACAGGAGTATTGGGTGGTAGATTACAATTTTAATAGTGGTCAAAGAAGGTTTTACTGATAAGAAGGCACTTGAGCAAAGACATGAAGGAGGTCAGGGGACAACCAGCAGATGTACGGGAGAAAAGCTTTCCAGGTAGAGGGAACAATAAGTACAAAGATCTTAAGGAAGGTGAATGCTCAGCAAATTCAAGGCACAGCAGGGAGGCCAGTGTGGCTAGAGTGGAGTGAACCAGGGGAACAGTACTAGGAGGTGAGGCCAGAGAGCCTGCAGAGGACCTAACCATGTAGGTCCTCATAGGCCAACATAAGGACTTTGACTTTTATTCTGAGATGGAAAACTACAAAGGATTTTGAGCAGAGTGACAAAATCCAACTTGCGTTTTAAGAGAATCACTCTGGCTGCTGGGTTGGTAAAAGACTGAGAGGGCCAAGGGCAGAAGTAGAGACCAAGTAGGAGACCACTCAGTAATGAAGGCAAGAGTGGCAGCAGTTGAAGTGATAAGATACAGCCATTCTAGACACACTCTGAAGGCAGAGGCAAAGAATCACTCTGGCTGCTGGGTTGGTAAAAGACTGAGAGGGCCAAGGGCAGAAGTAGAGACCAGGTAGGAGACCACTCAGTAATGAAGGCAAGAGTGGCAGCAGTTGAAGTGATAAGATACAGTCATTCTAGACACACTCTGAAGGCAGAGGCAAAAAGATTTCTTGATGGATTGGATGTGGGGTGTGAGATAAGAAATCAAGAATGACTCCAAGGTTTTGGGCCCAAGCAACTGGAAGGATGGACTTGCCATTTATTTAGACAAAAATTTTGGGAGAAGCAGGTTTTGGGCATCTTGAATGTAAGATACCTATAAGACATCCAAGCAGAGATATGGAGGAGGCAATGGGTGTCAGGGGCCTGGAGTTCAGAGAGAGAGATGGGTTGGAGGGACAAATTTGGGAGTTGTCGGCATATATATGGAATTTAAATGAGTGGGTGAAAGTCCATAGAGAGTTTTAAGGAGCTAATACATTTGACAATTCATGCCACAAATAAAATGTTTTATTTAAAAATAAATACTAAAGAAAGCATAGAGTTCAAATGATTACATTTTACATACCAGGTCTGCTTATAAAGACCAAGATTTCTATCCTGTGTTTCCTTATAAATCAAACTTACTAGGGAAATTTAAGAATAAGAGCCTCACTCAAAAGTCGGCCAAATGAAGCCACTACTCCAACATCATATTCTTCAGATCCCACATCTGGCCACTCATACACTGGAAGCTGGGACTGCACAGCATATTGCTTCACTGGCAGTCCTTTCAGTGATGGGGAAGGTACAGTGACCACATCCAGTTTTTCGATTAACTCTTCCTCTTTGTTTTCCCTAAATTAAAAAGATTGGAAGAAAAACATGAGTATTAAGGCAATGACTTAAACTACTTCACACATATCTAAGGTAAATAATCATTTTTATGATTAAACTCATGAAGCACTTAGAGCTAAATGATTAAAACTGGTGTGACAGAAGGACTGAGCTTTTATTTTTTATTTAATTTTAATTATTTTAAATTTAAAGAGCCACATGTGGCTAACGGCTACCAGTTGGATGGCATCATTCTAGAGATTTCCTGTGCATACAGAAGCATATACAGTACAGATATTTTACACAATTGGGATATTATACATACCATTCTGCATTTTGTTTTTGTCTTCTTAACAATGCTATATATGCTATTATATGAATCTTTTAAAAAATGGGTTAAATATACATATGCTTGTATATTCACTGAACATTTGTAGAAGCATAAGAAACTGAAAACAGTAGCTATTTCTGGAGAGAGGAACTGGGAGACAAAGGTGGAAGGAAATGACTTTTCACTGTATATCCTTTGAATATATGGAATTTCATACCATAATCATGTGTCATTCAAACAGTACTTTTAAAACAAACAAAAATAGGGCCTGCCCGTGGCTCACTCAGGAGAGTGTGGTGCTGGTAACACCACAGCCACAGGTTCAGATCCCTATATAGGGATGGCCAGTTAGCTCACTTGGGAGACCGTGGTGCTGACAACACCAAGTCAAGGGTTAAGATCCCCTTACCAGTCATCTTTAAAAATAAATAAATAAACAAACAAATAAATAAGACAAAACTATATATCATGGGCATCATCCCATGGCAGTACATGTAGCACTACCTCATTCTTTTTACCTGCTGCATAGTATCCCAGCACCTAGCAGCTGTCCATTCATTGAACAGGTATTGCATGCACATGTTGAGGAGTTATGAGAAAGGGAGTATGTACCAGGGCACTAAAAAGAAAGCACAGGAGTAATGGAGATGCCAAGTGAAGCTTGGTGACCCATCATCAGAAAGGTCGGGGTACATGCAGTGAGAGATGCCGGCGGCAATGTGGGAAACAGCAACATACGGAGGGTGCGGGAAGGGAACACGGTGTGAAGGGTGTTTCAGGGCATGTAGAGGGAGGAGCACGATACAACGGGATTGATGAGGGATTCTGCATATGAAGGGCTGCTGTCAAGTATTTGTAGGGGAAACATGAGGGAGTGAGATGGCAGAAATGGGCGGGGGAGAGGGGGACGTTAGGAAAAAAATGGAATGGGGAAATAAAAAACGTAAGTTGGGAGAAAAAGGTTGCCACCACATACCATGGACTCTCAGGATGGTTGGATTTCAAATAATTTTCCCCCCAGTAAACAAGATTTGCTAAGTTTTATAAATACTAAAATGGTATACCTAAGAGTTCTGATTCATAAGTTTATTCATTTGAGTAAAAGGCCACAAAAAATGATTACATTGTGTAATGATAAATATAGTAATTATCCTGATTTGAGGATCACGTATTGCACACCAGTATAGATATTCAACTTTGCATCCCACAGATGTGTACAATCAATTATATTTCAATTAAATTTTTTTTCAAAAGTTCATTCATTTGAAAACTGTTTTTGGACTACGTCCTCGTTTCAGCCCCTGAAAACTGGGTCCGGCTGTATACAAGGAGGACAAGGGGAGCAAAGTAGTGAGACCTGGGTGAGCAGAGGATGCAGGGACTCGAGGGTACACACTAGATGGATGGGAGGCAGTAGGGGCAAGTGGAAAGGGGGGAACTTTGAATTCAAACCCGGTTTTAGTCCCATCCAGCTCGGCTGATGACCGTGGGCAGCCGCTTAACCTCTCTGAGCCCCGGCTTCCTCACGCTTACCCTCTCTGAGCCCCGGCTTCCTCACACGCAAATCGGGCAGGGAGGTGGTGAGACAGACGAGGTGATGGAGGCAAAGCCCCCAGCCCTGGCACGGCATCGCGGGGGACCCCGGGGGCTTGGAGAACCGACAGACAGGGCCGGGAGTGGGAGCGTAGACAGGAGAGGCTGACCGGCGCCCGGAGACACCGAGGTCTGGGCCCACACTGCTCCAGGGCCGCTGCTCTCCGCGACGAGGAGACCCAAACCTCCGGCCGGCCACACAGGCTCGGCATCGGCGCCTTTAGCTGCCGGGATCCCCAACCCCGGGCCCGGATACCTGGAGGTGTGCAGCGCCCGCAGCGCCTCGAGGGCGAACTGGTCCGTGCCGAAAAAGAGCACCCGCCAGGGCGGCTTCTCGCGGATTCGGGTGTCCCGGCAGTCCTCCCGGCCTTGGGTCCCGCCGCGCCCGGCCAGCACTCGCCAATAAGGGATCGGCCTCCCACCCACTGCGCCACCGCACAGCCGCGGCCCCCAGCAGCACCGCGCCAGAACCCTCATCGCTTCCGCCGCCGGGGGCCCAGCCTGCGCAGGCGCGTCCGGGCAGGGACGAGGGCGAGGCTGAGGGGGGCGGGGCCGGGAGGTAACCTGATGGGCGGGACCTGCAGGCGGCTGGGGGCGGGGCGTGCCCGGGAACCGCGGGGGCGGGGCCTGCCTTATTGGAGGCGTGGCCCGTCTGTTTTGGAGCTGATGAATGAATTTGCCAGCTCGAGGTTCCAAGATTTTTGCTGCGTTTATTTGCACTATTTAGCCAGTCCCCCAAAAGAACCCTTATGGGAAAAAATGTGTTTTCAGACAATGAAACCTCATTTATTTACGTAGTGCGGTGTCATTTTCTCAGCCATTTTAATAACTAATATTTACTGAATACTTTCTATGTGCCACGCTTTGGCTAAGCATTTTATATCACTATTTCAGTTAATCCGCACATCTACCATACGAGGTAGACATTACTACAATCATTTTACTCGAGAGAAACTGAGGCTCAAAAAAAATAAATAAATCTGAGGCTCAGTGAAGTTAGGGGCTTACCAGTGTGTATAGGGTCTGCACAGCTAGTAAATGGCAGAGCAGGGGTGGGACTTTTGTCCATGTAGTTACCAAGCCTGTGATCCTAACCATTTGGCCTCCACAGCAATCCTATGTATTACGCAAGTCAATGTCCCCACTTTGCACCTGAGGAAACTGAGGCTCAGTTACTTGCTGGTAGTCGCCTTCATGAATTAAATAAAGACTCCGTTTTTGCCCCTACCCTGTGGGTTCCCTCACACAAAGAGGGATACCATAGAGGAGATTCCTACAGAAAATGGGCTAGGAAATTGTCCCCAGAAGACTTCTGAGGACTATTAGTGCTTAGATTCCACTGTAATCCCGAGGCTGATAGAGTGACCTCCTGAGTACAGTCACACATTCATGAAGCCAGCTCTGAGCAGAGACCACACCCTGTCCTAGTCTTATTCTCACCTCCTTTTCCCATCACACAGTCTTAAACCCGGTGACCCTGGACCAGTCCTTTCCCCTAGATTATGATCTCTGCACATCCCCACTTCCGTGCCTTTGCTCATGCTGTCCTTCCTAGACTGCCGTCCCACATCTCTTCCTCTCTGGATGGTATCCGTTCTTCAGTGCCAAATTCAGAAATCCTCCCTGAAGCTTCAAAGCCTTGTATCCATGGATTTAAAGTCATTCTCCGGGTGCCCTGTAGGGACCTCTGCTTCTCGCATGGTTCAGTATTATCGAGGAAAGTTGTCTAATGTATGCATAGACATTGATAATTCACCTGCATGTTGAACAAAATAGAGAGAGGCAAAAAGGAAGGGATTCCAGTGATCTTGCTCATCTGATCACATATGAGGAGAGTGAGATGGGATCCCAAAACTTCTATTCTTTAATCTAGTTCTATTCTAGTATCCTGTCTTAGGGTAAGCAGAATATGATTCTAATATTCAAAGAATGGTCTTTTTTCATACAGCATGACCTACACTAAATAGTCATTTGGGTTTTCATCTGAGAATTTAGCTGTCTAAAGTGTAACTCTTTTGTATTTATGTTTATGTGATTTCTCCGCTGATGGATTTTAAGCTTCTTGAGTTAGAGAGCCTGTCTTATGCTACATTTAATTTTCAACAGCCCAAGTTCTCCCAGGTAGCCCTGCTCCAGGTAGAATTTTTTTTATTTGTTTTGTTTTTTTGGCAGCTGGTGGTACAGGGAACCTGAACAGGTAGAGCCGCCTTGAACCACAGTGTGACTGCTCAGTCTGAGGAGCTGACATCAACCTGTTTTCTTTTTTCCATTGAGCTGCCTCCTACCATTGACATCTAACTTTCTAGTGGGTGGTCTTTAGATTTGCAACAAACTTCTTTTTTAAAAAAACTGAACATGATATTATTGTAATGATGAAGTTTTCCCAGGATGCTAAAATGAAAGTATTACTGAAACTCTTGGTAGTGAGTTAGGGGTATTGGGAGGGGGGAGTCCACTTCCAAGCTCAGACAAACCCACCAGTGGAGCTACCATAAAGCACACAGAGAAGATGAGGACTCTGCCTCTGAATGGCAGAGAGTTTTATGTAATAAATTAAGACATACAGAAAGCACATCCAAGGGACTGGAACCAGATAGTGCTAATTAGGTTGGTGCTTCCACTTCCGGAAACCTTTCTTCCTTGATGAATAGAGTATGTGTGTGCATTGAATCAATGAAATTACTCCAGGTTCTGAGTCTAGATGACAAGACAATAGCAGTGGCATTGATATGGGAAAAGAACCTACTTGGTGGTAGACATGACAATCCTTCAGCTTTGAACGCTTTGAAACTGAAGTGACGAGGTGAGCAGGTGGAGATGTTTGGTAGAAAACTGGAATATGGGGGTGGCCTCCATGACTCGTGGGTGCCCAGAGCTGTTCTGGGAGTGGGAGGAGGCAGGAGCCACCTCCTCTCCCTGTTCCCCCCTGCCCACCCTACCCCTAACTATGTGCATATGACTTCTGTGGGGTGAGGAAACCTGACACAGATTAAATGTGTGTGTGTGTGCATGTGTGTGTGTGTGTGCGTGTGTGTGTGTGTGTAATCAGTCCTTTGGTGTTGCGAGTCAAAAAGGGGGAACAGCCAGAGCCCTGGAAGAGATGAAGCAGGGGCATGAGCAGGAAGATCAGAGCTTTGATTGGTAAGAAAGCCAATGCCTGAGTCCACAAGAACTTCTGCTTGTGGCCTGCGAGGCAATGCCACATGTGATCAGAGGAAGGTCTAGGGCGGGAACTTCATGAAGCCTTCTGGGATGCAGTTCCAGAGTCATCTCCGTGTACTGCCATCTCCTGCCTTTAGTTGCACTGGTAGTCCACGAGGGGTGCTGCTCATCAACCTTTCTCATCACTGAGTGTGGCGGACATTCACTTGCTTCAGTGCCTCTGACTCTTGTTGCTTTGCCTCACACGGATTTGTCACCTCTCTTCCCCTGGGTGATGGAGACACAAAGGATTACTCAAAGCCCATCTTTTCTGAGCAGTGAGACACCCTGAAGCGGTTAACTTCCAATAAAAAGAAAGAAAGTAGGTTTTATTACAATGTGTGTAAAATGCCATGTTGGGGCCAAGGAAAATCTTCCTCTTCACCCCTAAAAGTTCACTAAAAAAAATTACAGTCAAGATTCAATGAGTATGGGGCCGGCCCGGTGGCGCACTGGATAGTGTGCCGCTTGGGAAGCGCTGCGGCGCTCCCGTCGGAGGGTTCGGATCCCACATACAGACCGGTTCCCGCTCACTGGCTGAGCGAGGCGCGGGGGCAACGCTGAGGGTTGCGATCCTGTTGCCAGTCCCCGGTCCGGTATGGGGGCGACACTGAGGGTTGCGATCCGTTGCCGGACACGGAAAAAGACAAAAGACAAAAAAAAAAAAAAAAAGATTCAATGAGTATGAAGAAAAGGCATAACAAATTTCATTTTAATATGCTGGGGAGGGCAATGCATGGGGGAATCACAACAGAGTGATTTCCCAGTAATCCAACAGGGTACAGATTCTTATCTGCCCCTCTCTGAAGGAGAAAGAGAGATGGAGGTGTAGAAGTAAATGATTCTTAGGGGGACTCAATGGGCTTGGAGAACATACAATGGCCTGGGACAAAGTCCGTTGAGCCCACAGAGCAGACAATGACTGGTAATTGATTCTTTTCAAAATGCTGAATGGGGAGTTCCACGCACTGTCCAGCTTGCAGCCCCCAGCCTCCCACCACCATGGAGTACCTCAGCATCCAGAGCCCTGACTATGTTCACCTCCAACCGGGTGGCCTCCAGCAATATTGTCCAGATGAAGGACGATCATGACAAGATGTTTAAGATGAGTGAAAAAATCTTACTCCTATGTGTTGCAGAGGCTGGAGGCACTGTACAGTTTGCAGAATATATTCAGAAAAATGTGCAACTTTATAAGATGCGAAATAGATATGAATTGTCTCCCACAGCAGCAGCTAATTTCACATGCCAAAATCTGGCTGACTGTCTTCCGAGTTGGACTCCATATCATGTGACCCTCTTCCTGGCAGGCTATGATGAGCATGAGGGACCAGCGCTCTACTACATGGACTACCTGGCAGCCTTGCCCAAGGCCTCTTTTGCAGCCCACGGCTATGGTGCCTTCCTGACTCTTCGTATCCTGGACCGATGCTACACACCAACTATCTCACATGAGAGGGCAGTGGAGCTTCTTAGGAAATGTCTGGAGGAGCTCCAGAAACGCTTCATCCTGAATCTGCCAATCTTTAGGATCAGATCACTGACAAAAATGGCATCCATGACCTGACCAACATTTCCTCCTGAAACAGGGTTCCTAACATCATGCCCTCCCTCCCACTTGCCAGGAACTTTCTTTGATGGGCTCCTTTATTTTTTTCTGCTCTCTTGACGTGCACTCTTGATAGATGATTAATTCAGAATAAAGCTGAATATGGATAAATGAAAAAAAAAAAAAAAACCTTAATTGGACCAAAATAGAAGACAATGGTCTGTCACAAAAGTCTGTCCAGGTGTGTTGACAGACTTGAGTCTTTCCTCCTGTGATATGAGTTAAGTTAATGAAAACTCAGGGAAAGGACCAATGGTAATTTCTTCCTCTTTGGCAGGTCTGGACATTAGACAGATAAGGGAACATCTTCATCCTGTGCTTTGGAGAGCGACAGAGGACTGAGAGACAGGAGGGGCAAGGTCAGAGAAACCCTGAGGCCACTGCTTTATTTCAGCATGTCAAAGCACCATATTTTGGGGTAACAGCCCCAACAACTAACATAACATTTTAGCTCATCTAAGACTTGCATTTATATTCTGATTAGCCTAATTAAATGGGATTTTCTAAAGTCTGTATATTTGTCTTATAGGCCATATAACTAATTGTTATTTATACCAAAAATATAGGAATATGAAAACATAAACATGGGATCTCATGTAATCTAATTATAATACCTAGTATAGTGTGTAAACTTTAGGTACTGCTTTGTGGAACCACAGAATTACTC